TGGGTGGGGGGGGGGGGGGGCTTTTAAAAAAAAAAGTTTCTTACTACTTTTTTCTCAGTGCATGTGTCCTGTATTGAATAGGTGACCGTAAGTCCCCTTAGGAGTAGCTAACGTTAACAATTTAACTTGTGCGAGCATAAGCTTGTAAAATGGTGTCTCTGACTGGTGACACTCCACAGATTATCAGAAAAATTACAGATGTCGGGGAAGTGTGAGAGGAACAGGATTAGCTGCACCCAGTAAAGGCTGAAGTCAGATTATCCCAGAAGCCTAAAATTGGTCTCTGACCACGTTGTAACTGTGGATAAAACTTGTTTCTACCTGCAACGCATAAACCTGTAGGAAATGTATAGTTGGCTTGCAGCTTAAACACATTTAGTAAAAAACAGTCATGTTTTATATTTGAAGGCTCAGTTTTGGGTTGGGAAGACTGAACTAACGTCTGCTGTGTGGCTCTTAGATTGTTCCTTTTTAAAGATTTCATTGCGGGATACAGCTGGGAACACATAGTAATTAGCCAGCTCTGTAGTAAACTTCACTTTTGCTGATAAAAATACATCTAGATTTCCAGAGGTGCTGAGTATTCTCTGCTTTTGACAGAGTTGAAGCGTGGTATTAGAATCTCTCTGAATTTTGTTTTAAAGGAATATACCGAAATGTTCCCGTCTATAAAATGGGTCCATTGTGTCCCCATAACCCTTGTATTTCCTCTTCCCTAGGGAAAGGTTGGAAGTTGGATGTTGCCAGCTGGCCCAGATGGAACACATGATTAAGCAGTGTCATGCATCAGTTCACATGGAAGCCAAGAACAGGGGCTGGCTGTGACACTTGGGTCAAGGTGTGGAGCTGCGGTACTCGCCCCCTGCGTTTTCCTCCTCCAAGCAAAGCCCAGCTCCTCTGGGGTGTGAGGAAAATACTCAAGGAGCCAAAAAATTTGCCTTCTTTTTTCTCGATGGTGCTGTTTTTTATCATCTGAGTTGAAGGAAAAAAACCCAACTAGTTACACATGTACATTAAATGTCAGAATTTCTGCGAAGAATCGCAAGCTAACAGGATTTTCTGTCTCAAGTGAGATCTCTGGAGCGATACAGCTGGTTTGGTATACAGCAGATGTGCTGGGCTGAATTCCAATTGTTCGTGTTAGGAGCTAGGTCTGTTAATGGTTGCATAGGAAAATCCATGTAAGGTGTTTGTTTTGCTGATACTTCCAAAGTGACAAGTGAGAAAAAAGAGAGTATCTCGTGACACCTGGGTGTCTGAAAAGACTGAAAAGAAAGCAGGCGAATCCAAAGCCAGATACCTGTGATGCTTGATGCCCCTATGGACATGAAGGACTAAAACACAGATGCAATGTATGTATCCTAGGTAGTGAACTATATAAGGCTTAAGCAAGGATATAGAATGGGGAAAGAAATGGATTGATGCTCTTTTTTTTTTTTTTTTTTTGTAAAAACAAAACAAAACCCCAACCCTCAGGCAGGTGTGTGTGTCCTGGACCTCTTTCTAGAGGAAAGGGATGTTTTTCCTTTGTTAAACTATCATCTACTTAGTCTTCATACAGCAGAACCTGCTAGCACCACTCTTCTGGAAAACTCCTTGTCCTTCTCTTTTGCCACCTTTTCTTGGAAAGGCAGGAGGGGTTTTTCCCTCCATGGGTTACATGCCATGACTTGTCTCATCTCTGCTCTCCAGGTGACATCTCTATTTGAATGTACTGTTTGTTGCTTTCCAAAACTGCTTTAAGTCCATGAAACTTTCTAGAAGCCATTCTCAGTGCTGCTGTGGCCTTTAAAGCTACCTCTTCCATGTATGTACTTGTACAGAGATGAGATGACTGGCAAAGCTCTGTAAGTGTTTATTTTGATACTAACTTTTTGGATGTATTTGTAAAATCTTTATTGTAAAAATGTAATTTATTGTTACAGTAAATGACAGTTACTTCTATGTGGCAGTTTCTTTGAATAGCTCTATTTTCACTTTTCCTAATTACTGTGGATGCAAGTTTAATGCAGTTCTTGCCCCCAGACACTTAAAAGTCAGAGAGAAGTGGCTTGGTAGAGTTACTGTCAGAGCAAAATGCATTTTAAGGGCTACTTCCATTCACGCTGTTAGCCCACAGTTGTGGGACAAGTATGTTATGCTTAAATAAGCTTATGTTGGCAATTTGTATCATAAATCTAGAAAGCTGGATCAACTTAAGCACATGGTATCTGTCTGTCTTAGTTCACATCTACTTTTGATACAGTGTCAGCTGTCTTCTCCTGACATAAGACTTCAGCAGGACTGCCTTGTGTTACATGGAATAACCTGTAGCACAGAGGTCTGTTACTAGCTAGTCAAGACCTGAATCAAAGCAGTCAACTAAGAATGTGATGGTGACTGAAATTAGTGCCATTTCCTAAAGCTATTCGATTAATGCTGAGGACCACAGCCACAGATCAAGTTCCTTACAACAGTATCAGCTGTTTCTTTTCACCATGGTGTTACACACTTTTCTTTTTGGCCCCTTTCTCATCTCGCCTCTGGAGCACCACACTTTAATTTGCAGAGAGCTTTTAGTAAACTGATCCTGAGAGCAGCCTGCAAGTAGGTGAATCTCCCTGCAAGAACAGTGGTAGTGCTCTAGGAGCCAGGTGCTGTCTGCTGGCTGCCTGCTCTGAGACCTTTACACCCATTTCTGGAGGGTAACTCACAAAGAGCAGGCAGCTGTACAGGGCACTTCCCCTCCTCTCTCTTTCTACTTGAGGTGGGGTTCAGTTAAACATCCTACCTTGTCTTGTAGCTACACGCATTTGAAATGTTTATTTTGATACCACAAACTTCTCTTTGTAAGCTGTCTTGTTAAAGAAAAGGACACAAAGAGACATCACAGCAATCCTGTGGTACAAGGATTTCCCAAAAGGTACCTTTAATGTGTTTGCATCAGCAGCAAGCAGTCAGTGCTAGTTTTGGCACTAGGAGTTAGATGTGCAGCACTACACATTAGACACCAAGTCATCCTAACCAACATTTTATCCATATGAATAGAGAAAGTGAACTAAAACATAGTACTATGAGCACATACGAAATCAAGTCATTTGTGTTCTATCACACTTTCAGCTTGTAATATTAGAAAAATAAGACAGTTACTAATCAGATGAATACATTTTCATTGCCAGTTGGCAAGAATTTAAAAACCATGAGAAAACCCCCACACTGAAGTTTTTGTTTTACAAAGGTTAGCTCACCCACAGTAACAAAACTGCTGTACAGAAAGCACCCTCTGCATTTTTTGTCAAAATAGCTGGAGCCCAAATAATTTTCCTGTCCTAGAAAGTCACAGCTATGTTATGTTCAGAAACTCCATTCAGCTCTAAGGAACATGTCACATACTAAGTTACAATATTGTAGCAGAGGCAGAAGCTCAGCAGCTCACCAACAGTGGTAAATTGGTTGTCCCACTCGGTCTCTATGAACTCCAAGGTTGTCTCTTTGCTTCAATAACCATTTATCTGCCATTTTCATTTCAACAGATAAAATACTCTGCTGAATATATAAAAAGTTATAAAAAGGCAATCATAAAAGATAAGGTATTGGCAGGCATGTCAGCTTTTTTTCATAAAAAAAATAGCCATTATATCTATTTAAATAAGGCTTCTTGTTACAGATTGTTCCAGTTACTGAAGGAAAAACAAGGCCTGGTGAAAAAAACAATCCCCCACAAACCTTACACTTCCTGCCCCAAGAACGCAGCCTACAGGAAAAGTTGTTTAATGTGCAAAGTGACAAAACACTGGGGGAAGCTCCTGAAATGATATGCCCAGTCTAGTTTCTCTTGCGTTATCTTCAAAAATCTTAAAAAAAAAAAACCAAACACCCAAAAAACCCAAAAAAACAAAACTAAAACAAAGTTCTAAAATACACAAAAACCCCTTCATCTTGATATTCTTTCCAAAACAAATATGTACAGCACATTAATATGCAATATGCAAAAGCTCTGTGTTGCTGTTGGCAACATCTATGCCCTCCCCAACCCTATTCACATGTGTACCTCTACTAAAACACAATTACATCACTAAGCCTGTTAGTTTGAAAAAGGGAATTTAATTCACTTAAAACTTGTAAATTTTCGTGTAGGGGCTCCATTCATTTGACTCGGGATTGTAGACTTCAACTGTGTTCAAGAACTCATTGCCATCAAATCCCCCAACTGCATAAATAGTGTTTGCCACCGTGGTAATCCCGGCGTTGCTCCTTGGCATAGTCATGCTTCCCATCATCTTCCATTCGTTCTTAGCAGGGTCGTACATCTCCACACAGCTCACTGCGTGAGAGCCGTCAAAGCCTCCACCAACAAAGAGTTTTCCTATTGAAAGGAAACAAAGCAAAGGCTTCACTGCTAAGCATCAGCTGTGTCGCCAAACGCAGCCTCCTTTCTGGGGTAAGCCAAAAGGAAGGACCTTCAGGTTTTCTGTCAGAAACCTTTGCCTTGCACAAGGTCTGAAGGTACACTATTGACCTGCTTTGGGTGTCTCAATCCTTAGAGCAGACTGGAAATTATTTCAGTGTAAGTGCAAAGCCCAAATTTGAACAGATGCAGTTGTTGAAGCTGCACGGTGATGTTTTGAAAAGGAGGTGGGGGCGAATGCCCCAAAACAAAAATGAGGTTTTTTGCTTTTCTGGTTACAGTTTTTAATTAAAATTGGACGCATAGCCAAGTTCTTACTGTATTGTTCCCTCCTTGAGAAGGAACACAGCTTTGTATTTTACTTGCATTGTAGCTTAACATGAAAAATTCATCAAGCATAAGAGGTTGCTTAAGCCTGCAGAAGCCTACCGTCACGAACAGCCACTCCAGCCCCTCGTCGAGCCACGTTCATGGGTGCTATCAGAGTCCAAGTGTTGTTCTCTGGGTTGTAACGCTCCACGCTATTCAGGCAGTTCCATGATTCTGCTCCTCCAATGATGTACAGATATCCACCCAGCTCACACACTGCAGACTGATGTCTCCCTGCAATCAAACACTAGCAGTCACAGCCCAACACAGAAGTCATGCACTAACAGTATGCCACAGCAGCTGAAATTTAAATGGTGGCTTTGTTCAGTTTGGTTTTAAACCTGCAGTTTTGCCACCACCCTTTTCCCCCCTCCCTCCAAAACTACACAACAAACTTACGGATATTAAGGGGAGCACAGCTCGTCCAAGATTTTGTTACAGGATCAAACACATCACAGTTCTTAAGTCCCTTTTGGCCATAAGGATCTGAACCACCAACAATGTACAGTTTTCCATTCAGGGCACATACTCCTATTCATATAGGAAAGAATAAGAAGCAAACTAATAAATGAATACGTTTTAAAAAAACTGAGCAAATACTCTATCAACTGCAGATGTGTTACCTGCATTGCAGCGATTGGTTCTCAGTTCTGGAACAGGAGTCCAGTCATCTATTTCTGGCTCATACATTTCTCCACAGCTCAAGTCATCCGAGTGACCGTTTGACCCACCCACAACATATAGCTGCCCCTAAGGGGAAAAAAAACAAACACCTGCTTCACATCTAAGTACACAACAATTGAAATCATTAGCACTTTAGTAACCGTGTAACTACAGGCAAGCAAGTTCCGTTACCCTTTTGTAAAGTTTGCCCTGTTTGTCCCACCTACGTTTACACCATGTCACATTTCACCTGATCTCCACCCACCACACACCATTAAAACTGCCATCTGGAACCGAGCTCTTGGTGTTCTCATCGGTGCAATGAAAGTCCAGGTGTCCTTTTGTGGATCGTAGCATTCCACTGTGCGCAAACACTCCTCTCTGTTATATCCACCTAAAAGCAAAAGGTCAGATGACACCACATTTCCAAAGACCAATTGCTTTCACGTTGAAGAACGCCGACTCAAATACAGCGTACAGAGTTAAGAAGCTGCTGTCGCCCCCAGTCGAGCAAGTTATTTAAAGAATTGTTACTATTCCTTTTACCTGCAGCGATAAGCTTGCCGTTAAGTTCGGCCGTGCCCAGTCCAGACCGAGCATACTGCATTGGAGACATGGGCTTCTCTATGATATCATTTGGTTGAAGCTCAAAACTCAGACTCTTCAGCAGTCGTGGCGTACTCGTGGGAGAGCTCTGAGGGCTATTACGGCCGTGCAGGAATATCACGCACAGCACACCATCCAGAACAGCTAGACACAGGTAGGTGTTACCTGTCATCAGGAGAAAAGGAAAGACCACCCATATAATACAATTTTAGGTGAATGTAAGTGAATGCTGACTAGGGTCTTCTCATTATGCTTCTCCCCTTGTAAGTGTGAAAACTTATTTTCTGGTTACTGGTTCCAAGTGTTAGCCTAGTTACTGAAAAATATGAGGTTTAGATTATTACTATAGTGCCCAAAGGACATAAGAGCAAGCTAAAGATGTGCTAGGAGAAAGTCTCCTCACACACACACAGCAAATAGCTCCATTAATTAATTAGAGACTGCCGATCTCCTTAGGACTTTCTGGTTAAATTATAGACTGTGGGATTTGGGACGGCCCTGTCGATAACGAATCGAGATGTAAGTGATGCCAGTTTGGCCCCAGTTATGTTAGAAACATCCCACAAATTACCGGGCCCATTACTGGACTTGCATCATCAGTAAGAAAAAGCACTTCTGCATTCCTTATAGATGTTGAAGGAAACCCCCAGGGAGTGGGAGGTGGTAGGTACACAATACTAGGTGCATCTTTTAGACAAACCCTGCCCCAGTTACTCACTTGAAGTTTTCTCTGAAGCAATGATTTTCCACTCGTGTTTGGGACTCTGAACAGTAGCATTTGGAGAAAGACTTCCAGAGGAGCTGCTACTGATCTGCTTGTGATCATTCTCACGTGGTGGCTTCTTCTGCAAAATCAAAAGGCAGCTACAGAAACCTAGCCAGAGACTACACCTCCTTCTACCTTTGCTTCTCTGAGCTAAGACATAACTATTCAAGAGAACACTTCGTCTACCACCTCTGCAGAGCATCATTTATAGCACACCTAAATTTTCAACAGAACATGTTGCCCACTCAGCAACAGTGGCTAAAAACCACCCTGCATCTATCTTGGTACTCATTTCATCCTGTGACTGCAGCTTTATACCGCTGGTTGTCTGCCCAGAAATCATTTCAAATTCCTAAAGAGAGTATGCATTACTAGCAGGATTTTCAAATATAAGGAAAAATCTACATCCACTTGGAGAGAACTGATCTACAAACTAGAAGTCTTGCTCGCAAGCTCTGCTTCTGGAACTTGAGTTAATTATATAATGCTATTTAGAAGTGAATTAACTATTCTCTTCATTCCCTGAAGACAAATTAATTTCGCCTCAGTTCCTCTCTGTGCTCAGATTAGCTGTTTCTTGGATTTTACTCCCTTGCTACTTCCCATTAGCAGGAGATTTCTGCTTTCTTTTCTTCTTCAATTAAATTTATACTGTAGCTTACGTTATTTTGCTCAATTAAGAAAAAACCCCAAATTTCACATTTCGGATTAGACTGCACAGCTTGTTGGCTCAATCATAAGAACCAAACACAAAATTTAACATTTTGTCTATTCTGTTTAGCAGTGAAGTTTATGACCACAGTACCAAGTTTGCAATGCTTGCACAGCTCCCTGGAGTCTGATCTCTATGGAAACTGTCATAAGACTTCTGAAATACATCATCTCACTCATAGATAACCTTACACAGGAGAGCTTGATTGCTATACTCGGCTCACCACAAAAATCAATTCATTTGTGGATAGTGTTTTTGTTATTTCTGAATCTTCATCCAATTAACAGCTTATTCTTGTATCCTTAAAGTGCCTCGACAGTTACAGAAATTACAAACTTTTGTAATTCAAAAATTTAAAAGCTACAATTCTTCCAGGACTGTCATCTGTGAGTTTTCTGGTGTTAGTTCTCTCAACTGTTTAGAAGGTCTGAAGTTGGCAATTCTTATTATCCGAAAGGATTTAAAAAAAAGAAGTTGACAACTCTTGGCCTTATTTCTGAAAAGGAACTTTTTGAACGTTCACCTCCCAGCTTCTAAGTATTAAAAGGTGTAGTATCCAAAGGTGGCAAAGCCGGTGAAGGCTTACTAAAAACAATTAAGAAATTGGAAAATTAGCTGGCTTTTCAATTTTCCTCTCTCACTTCTAAAATCCATGTTCTGGGATTGAGAGTGTTTTACATAAACATTAGCTAAAAGTTTCACAAAGCGTACTTTTGTATCAGCACATTCCACTGTTATGAGTTCAAATATTACAATGTATTTGCTTCTAACTCAGTGAATTTAAACAACATTAATTCATATAAAGCAATTGATAATTTACATCTACTAGCCCTTTTTTATTCTTTGTTTCTTAAACAGCCTCCATTGTGCTAAGCCGTGTGGTTTTCAGGAGTTGAGAATGATTGTATCTGGCTGGAAGTAAAAAAAAAAATAAATCTCAAAAAGCACAAGACCAATTTGTACATAGCCAAAGCATCAGCTATCTCGAGATCAGAAGTTACCTACTGCTGCTTTTTAAAATCTCTCCTGCACATTACCAGTGCAGCTGAACAAAAGAAACAGATGCCGGCAGCTGAAGGATTAGAACTTACGTCTGGAATCTTTTTCTATGCCAAAATTTAACAGATGCATTCTCTGCTGCAAGCCAAGCAGTCCATGGTTCTTTACAGACTCTTGAATATCTCTACAAAGCCACAGCTGACTGCTTCTCTACCTCTTCCTTCTTTTAACAGCCTAAGATTTATTTTGAAGTCAAACCTAAAGTACTCCGTTTTGCAAAGGCTTAGAGTCAGTCTGCCGAAAAACCAGAAGCAGAGACTAAATCATCACCTCCAGTGGTTTTGAGAAAGATACTTTCTCATCATGTATTTCTCCATTAAAACTACTTTCTCTGCTAACAGTACACAAGACTTCAGGTGTGCTGTAACTGCTCCTCCAGTCTATCTAGGGTTACCTGAGACTGTCTGCAATTTGTACCTGCACAAACTGAATGTGGTCATCATCACTGCCATACACCTCAGCCTGTCCATCTAGCAGATTTCCATCAAGCAGCTTGTGATCAGCTGAGTAGTACAGCGTTTGAACCTGCAAAAACAACAACAGAATACCCATATGGCTACTGTCTCCATTGCTACTTAGCTACAGGCAGATTACAAAAGGCAGTCGCCAGCATACTTCTCGTCATCTCATCTCAATCTAGCAGAATGACAAAACTAAAAGGAAGCAGATGTCATGGCGGCAATCTTCAAACATGGGATGAAGGTTCGTTACTTTCTCAGCTTGAGAGAAATCTTCATTTTTCAAGGACTTCTACTGCTTCTCCAGCACAGAAACATTAGACAAGCAAAAGGCACATTAATTTGCAGAATTACACAAATTCACAATCTCATGCAAGCATTTTCGTTATCCCCGCAAACAAGTTTTCTGCTTTGAAAAATACACATATTTATCTCGATCAGAAAAAGTCAAGAGAAGCCAACAGTGGACTCTAAAAGAAAGGTATGGGAATGAGGGAAGACAACACAAATTTTAAGTTCTGGAGGAAACTGTTGTCCACAACTAAACATCAGATGCAACTGTTTCAATGGAATGCATCTGAATTTCAACATGATCAAAGCTTTTAAAATGAGTTTTTCCAAGAGGAAATATACACTTGAGAATATACGACAGTATCAACATGTACTTTTGCCTATACAAGTGTTTCCGAAGATCTATCATGATTGTAATAACAAACGTGGAAAATTTTGATGTTTCATGGGTTTTTGTAAAGTCTGTTTTCTCTAGCCAATTACAAATTTAGATTCCCCACTAATTTTTCCATTAAACACTGCCCAGGCTACATCTAGTATCAGTATTCATGAGTAAAGCCATTTAATAACACACAACTTTCAAAATAATGCATCCTGTAAAGGAGTAAGTAAACACCATTAAATCATCATCATCGTTCTCTGCCCACAGCGGATTTTCTTAGGAGAACTGGGGCAGGACTGCTGCTTCTGTACGTGTCAATACACTTGAGGTTTCTTCTTGGTTCTTCAGCCTTGGTATCCTAGTTTTGTTAATAAACCTATGGGGAGATAAATCAATGGGGAGGAACAACCATTAGAAGCTTTTACCTACTTCACATTTACAAGCAAAACCTGCAAAGGAAAACATCAAGAATCTACGGCAAGTTTCAGTACCACCTCCCCAATTCTAAAGCAAGATACACACCACTTTGAGGTTACTATACAGCACATAGTGAGCAAAAAAGGAAAGCGGAAGACCAGACTGAACAGTTCATTCAGCTCACCTGAACACCCCCCCAGTTTCTCAGCTTAGGGGTACCTACAGTAAAATTTAAATTCTTTAGGGTCATAGTTTAAAAAGTGAAAAAATAAAAAAAATTAAAAGAAAAAGGGATCATCCTTCATATTGACTTTTTTTGGTTGATTTTTTAAAAAAGATGTTTAATCCCATTTTCTTAAAGACTAACCTCTTCCATTAGATCTTCCAGGCTGTCTCCATTCTCCCAGATGCTGCGCTGTACCCAGTTGATTACCTTTGTGTACAATTTGCCATTGCTGGGTAGGCCAACATTGTCTTCCAGCATTACTTCGAGCTTGAATTAGAAGAGACAAGGATGATTTAGTCTATAGGTATTACCCTTGTATTTGTAGCATACTGTACTTTACGTAGTGAGCATTACTCTCACTTTACCACAGAGCTAGAAAACACCACCTACAAGGAGCTTTCAGCCCATGCCACTGAAACTAGGAAGCACATTTAAGTACAACTGCAGTTATCTTTTACGCTTAGAAAGGATGATATACTATGAGTTTTCTACTGTTAAGGTTCACAGTAGTATGGCTATTACAGAGACCCAGAATTTTCACATTGGTGGTAAAGGTCAGTACACCAAGTTTTCCTAACTCCCAAAAAGGAAGCCATAATAGTTGCTCCTTGGGTTGCTTTTTGGAAGTCATGTACCAGAAGGAAGTCTACAAACTTAAGCTAACCTTTAATCTTGGAAGTTTGAGAAATTCTTCCTGTTCTGAAATCTGTAAAAGATGTTCCTGAATGTAGCCATCGATCTTGTTCAACAAACGTGAGTCTCCCATACAACTTGCAAAGTTTCGGTAAGAGATGCAGCTCTGAACATCCATCTTGGAGAGCAAATAGTCACCACAAACCTTTTAAGAAAAAAGGCTGCATCTTAGTTTACAGGTAGACGATATTTTTATACATTTAAATTATCCATCACCGCATACAGCAACAGCTGTTTTCCAACTGCAGAATAGCAACTGTCTGTTGTCATCCCCTCCCCGAGCTAGAGCTGTAAATGAAATGTTGCCTTCCACAGGAATATACATACATTAAAAGTCGTACACATTTGAAAGCTACTCATACATTGACCCTGTGCTTTTCTATTGAACGCCTGATCAAAACTACTTATCTGCAGTCAAGTGAAGGCATGAAGCCCAATTCCCTTGTGAAAGGTATCCCCATCTGTGGCAAGAGTTAAGTATTTCTAAAGTCAAGCGCTACCAAACTTATGTTCACGAGGGTGTGGATTATTCTTTTTTCCACATATCACTGCCACAGTTACAGGTTTAATTATGCCCCTCAATGCAATGAAGCACAGCACTGCTTCCACAAACCTGAAGGTAAGTAACCAGCTGTAATTCAGAAGCAGTTTTGCTTATACAGGTGCACAAATACAAAACTTAACTTCAGAGAACCCTTCAGCACAAAGATAACACAAGTGGAAGCAATACATACTGATGTCACTTAAATTGATACAATGCTAATGAACATCTAAAGCAGCTTATCCGCTGAGCAATTTTCCACAGAATCATCATTTTTTGCCTCATTAACATAAAAAAACATAATGCTGTGAGCCTGAGAAATCAGAATGGCCTTCTGGAAGAGCTGAGAACTGTACCTGCTTAACTCTCTCCATCTTCAACTTCTTTGCTGCAGAGTATACATCTTTCACCAGTTCTTTATCAGCTTTTAATCTATTACAAAAAGAAATTTATCTTTATTATTTTGATTTTTTTAAATTAAAGTCTACTGTCTATAGTTTCAGTGAAAACTACTTACTGAGCAGTATAGGCATAATTCAACAGAACTTCAACAGCTTCTGGATTGAGATCATCAAATTTAACATGGGAAATTCCATGAGAATCACTATCGCTATTGAAGATTTCAAACAGGTAGGGACTGCAGCAAGCTAGCACGGCTCGGTGTGCCAACATCTCATGTCCACATACCTTTATTTAAAACACAAATAAGATATCCACATGCTGATAAGAATTTTTTTTAAAGTATGTTTGTATTATAGTAGTATAAAGGCCTACCCAAGTGAATGTCACAGTTCAAATCAATTTTTCAAATCAACACAGTCTCCAATTTATGTTAGCTGAAAAAAGTGTTAGCGTCACTTCTCTCAAAGTATATCTGATTTTAATTTTTTTTAAGTATGCCTTTTTCAGAAATCAGATTCTAAAATCTCACACCTCACAATCAATGAGGCACATAGCATTACATAGTGTAACAAAAACCCTACTGCATTCAATCATCATACTTGGACAGAAAAAAGGTACCTGGAGACGGACATCGCAGAACTGACCGCTTTTACGTAAGGCATTTAGTTTGGCAACAGACGACTCAATGAAGTTTTCATCTTCAAACATCAAATATCCATTAGGAATCATTTTGGTGTTGGTCTGGCTGAAAACAGAATGTATAAAGTTTACAGATACAACATTTTGCTTCATTATAGAAGTACTCTTAACACATTGTTTGCGAACAAACATTCATGGGGAATTTAAGAAAAAAATATAAATCCATCTCAAAAAAACCCAGCCTAGAAGAGTACTACTGCTCATGAGTACATGTTGAAAACAGTCCTTTGGATTGACTGGATTACTGATTTTCAGAGATTGAGGCCACAACTTTTATCTTATCCACATCACTTCAGTAGGTACCAACTCCAAAACTACATGCTGAGCCTCTGCTAGCTCCATGGGAGCAAGTTGGAAACCACTGGATTACACAAGAAGCTTCATTCCCCTCTACAAAGATCGGATTTGGTACATTCATTGCTGTTTTCTGCATGAAATCTGTCAAACTGGTCAGCTTTATTTTTTTACACAGACCCAAAAAACCAACTACATTGAAAAATAAGAACTGAGAATTTAAAGTAACCAGTTAAGTAGAATAGCTGTAGAAATAATTTTTTGTTTAATTTTGAGTAATGACTTAAATATTTTAGAGTAGCTGAAGTCATGAAAAACATTAGCACCAACAAAAGACAGAATTAAATACATTCTGAACAATGACGATGTATTTTAAGTCATCATGAAGCTAAAACAACTTCCCCTGAACATCTTGCCCATATACAAACATACCACCTCAGGTAAATTGGACCAAGACTACAAAAATAACTTCAGGAAACTAACGTTTTAATTTGGAAGCTATTTTATAGATCATTTAATTGATTCTTTCTTTAGTTACACACTTTCAGGAAAAGTCCATTTTCCATATAGGGAGCTAATTAAGAATACTAAAACATGACCCTGAGGTGACCTAATGAACTTGAAACTAAAAAAATAGTAATAATCAAATTTGTAAGTTTGAGCTGATAACTTATGCAAAAGTGTACTTTCCTCAACGATTTCAGAGGAAAGAATATGTGGGATACTACTAATGTTATCAGCAACAACTTACAGTTCCATCTAAAGTTTAAGAAAATTCTAAGGATCAGACTAAACAAGAAAACCCCCAAAATAGAAAAAGTGGAGAGCAAAAATCAGTAATAAAAATAGCAAGCCCCACACAAAATAGTTCTAGTGTTAATCCATTTATTTTAAATTCACTTACTACTGAAAGCATTTGACCCTAAACTGGCAGCAATAATCTTACTCACAAAGATCATTATCCATTTGTATACACTTTAATTTGTTGTGTTTTAATAAAAAAAGGACAGCAAGGTTTTAAAGTCACAGAATTTCAGCAAAAGTATTAACTATTATATATGCAGCTAACAGTATCGACTTACCAAGAAAATATATTACTGTAAATTTTTAACTGGGAAATCTTAAAATAATGCAATGGTATCACTGTGTTAAAACAGAGCACTTCAATTTCAGTATCTTCTGACAGAAGATGTTTGTTGAAATACGAAAGCAGACGTGTCTTTGCAGCTGCAATACGGATTCCAAAACTATCAGGCTTGAAGATGATGTAATAAAGTCCTTAAGAGCTATAGACATGAATTTCTTCTGTGATAATCATGCATCATAATCTGCAATAAAGTAGAAGTTATCAAGTAAGGACAATAAATAGTACTACCATGTATTTCAGATGAAACTTTAATAGTGTCTTGAAGTAGAAGTTCCTGACCCAAACAAACAAGTTTTTCTTCACAAAAACAGCCTGAAAAATTCCATACTGACACCAATACATTCTCATGCCTAATGAAAGGTCAACCACATTAATTTTTATACCCACAGAGACAAGAAAGTGGCTAAATTAGTGCTTAGAGAAAAAGTTAGAACAGCTGAATCCCATTTTTAGACAATTCCTTACCAACTCTAACCTTCAGCACTTCCGGTATCTAGATCATTACTGCTTGCTTACACGAGTAGATAATGCTTAAGTAACACAATAAAAATGACTAATTTTTGAAAAAGAAACCAATCCACATGCCTCCTACCTTTTGCTTTTCCTCTACTTATATCCTTCTTCTACTGAATGCCTAAAATGGACTGAAGATGGATTAAGGACATGTCTGAAATGACTGGGCATGTCTCCAGTCTTCGGTACTTCCAAAAAAATTATAAGTCAGAAATTGCTATTTGCTACCCTGCAAATAGAATCTGTTAAGTTCTGGTCAAGTTCTGCACTGGCAGTGCAGACTGGGGTAGCTTTGTTGGTATTCTGCATGTGGGTGGGCTGTTTATGCCAGGCTTTTTCAGGGAGGGGAGAAGAGGAGGAGCAGCTGCAGCAGCAGGGAGGGAGCGGGGAGGGAACAGGCAACAAACACCCACTCTGGAACTTTCCATGACCCTGATGCCACCTCAGGAAAACATCGATCACTTCATCCACTTGAGTTCCCCACTGCAGTTCCGAAACTATATTTGTATCTACAGATTAAATGCCACATTGGGAATCTGCTTTCCTAAAAATAGGTGCAGCTCATTTCTCCTTGTCAAAAATTAAAAGTCACCTACATTGTAGGCAAGAGAGTTTCACGACCCAACTGCCTGGCCAGCGCTTACACACAGGATCATTTTGGCAGAAATTCACCTCCCTTGGTCTCTAAGCAGATCAGCAGCTCAAGCGCGAGGCTGATTCTCAAGAGCAGCAGGGGGCATTATCCCACAACATACCAGCTCCACAGGAAAATGCTTTCATCCTTAACAGCTTCTTGGAACCCTGAAGACAGAATGTTTCAGCTAGCAGATAACCGCATAGAAAGTATTAATGTTAATTAAGTCTGGCTACTAGAACACACACAAACACATACATACAAATAAGGAAACAACTGCTCCAGAGCAGCAGTGGTGTCTGTCTGTAATATAGTACCTCCAAACGCAAGGACGACTACAGAAACAGTACCCCAGGGATCACAACTTTTTACAACATACTTTAATGTCAGCACACTTTGCTAGGAAAAAAATCTCAAAGATAAAATGTATGTTCTTTTTATAATCCTACAGGCCAGTTATGAGACTGAAACCAAGCTCTATTTACCAAATATTTAACTAAGCATTTGGAAGTCAACACTTCTTCTCTTGTTGGTACAACTGGTATAACCATTTCAGTTTCTAAAGCAATCAAAACATTTCACTTCTCAAAAAGAAAAGTAAACAGTTTGATGTCCACACTTTCCCCAAAGACTCACCTCAGCCGAAACATTCCATTGTTCAAAGATGCAGAGGTATTATTTCAACACAAGTGTTGCAATGAATTAGCTTACACAGAAAGTTGTAAGAATCTATTAGAAGTTATGCTTCACCAAGACTATCCACAAATGTACAAGAGAATTATCACCAAGAGACCTCTGACTTTATAATCTTAGATTTTAAACCTTCCATTTCTGTTGTAGGAATTATCCAGACATGATGGCCAGACTTACCCAGACAAATGCAAACTACAGGAGGCATCTAAAAAGGAATGTCAAGGGAGACAAGCTCTGAGTTCCAGGCAGGAGTTGCACTGGATGATTGGTACACTGTCAGACCATTCTGGTGAAAAGGCTTGGACCAACCCAGTCACCACTTGCTTGATTCTGAGCAGAAAGCGACACATAGCACATCAGATTATTCCCCTTGCTCACAATGGTTTTAAACCAGCTTCTTCTCGACTACCAGATCTCTCAAAGAAGTTCTATTGTTAACAGAGTAGAGGTCCGTAATTACCAAAGCAAATTAAATGTATGTTGCTACCACAGTTCAGACAAACACGCTGCTGGTCTGCTCATGCATCACATTATGCATTCTTCCATTCAATATTCATTGGGATTGCTGTTAATTACCAGTACTGAGGCTTTGGGGAGATTTTGACTTACACGACAACTATTCAAAGAATTTCAACTAGATTCCAGAATCATCCTCATTCAGTTTACATCTCTGAGCATGTTTTGTCACATTCTGCTGTAATGGAAGAACTTTATTTCAAGTGTAGTGTTTCAACTTTGCCTGATGTACTTGCTTACGACCTTCAAGAACTAAAAAGGACATCCAAAATAATTCTGGGTTGAAATGGAAGATTTGTCTTCTAAAGTCCTCCTTTGTGCCTGAGGTCAAAACCACACATTTTGCATTTATGCACCTAACAGTATTGTCCAATCTGGATATCTAGGAATTTGAACATCTTAATTATTGCCACAAAGTTTCAATACTGTTTTGAGTGAACCATGGCTATTTTTACTACTCAAAATGGCATTAAATAGCACAAGCATATTCAGTACTTTCTGCATTCCTTTTGGTTTGGGATACTACTGCCAGAACAAGCCAAACAATCAGCCAACATTCAATGAAAAGCCAAGAACGCTGCATTTTCTGCATTAAAGGTTATAAACAGGTACTGCAAACAAATTTCTTTCTTAAATTGTTTTTAAAATCTAAATCACTTTGTCACTACCTTTCTCCTACCCACCTCCCACCCCTTGCTTGTACTCCCTTCTAGCTCACCACATCAAGACCTGTCAGTGGCTTTTTTTATAATTTTCCAGGACTTTGCATGTTTTTAAACCAAGTGCGATGTTCACAGATCACTGTCAGCCAGGTAAAGTCTGAAGTCTGATGCCTCTGAAATGATTGTTTTTCAAGCTCCATCAAAATGCACTTATTTAAACTTCTTAAAGCTACAGAATTAGCATTCCAGAATGGGAACAACACATTCCATTTGAGAAAATTCTTTACTTGAGAGCAGGCCTATCTCCTGCACTTATTTTTAAAACAAAGCAAAAAGTAAGAGTGATATATAAACTATGCATTTCCATTCTAGTTTTAATACTAAAGACTGATACTGGGGTTGAGCCTGGAGACACCACCTTCAATCAAGATGACGCTAGGTGTAACACTGCAGAGGACTGGGACAGGCCGAAAGCCATGAGCATTCACATGGTGTGTTTCAATGATACAGCTGTACCCAAGTAGAGGAATGCCAGTACTCAAACATCTGCCCAGTTGCTCGATTTAAACATAATTGTGTTCTAATAGTGGAGTTTCTTAAACACTTACTGTTATGCACAGACCGAGATTTTCATTTGCTCCCTATATGTACCACTGGACCACAAAAGATTCATGGCTCATAATACACTCAGAGAGAAATTCACCGCATGTTACTGACTTCCAGAAGAGAAATTTCCCCCCTTTAAACTCATCTTTCCATTTCACTAAATATACATTTAAAGATGCATTTAAAAAATTCACCTAAATAACAATGATTCTGTCTTCTCATCCTTCACTACACTATCCTCTTATATGGATTTTGCAAGTGCAAATACTACTGAAATATGATTAGCTCAGTTACAAGAGCAAATAAATGTCATAATTAATACACTTTAAATTAACTGTGCTTAGAATTTAGGATCTGTTCATCAAAATTTTTTTTAAACAGCCGTTCACTGCAGAAAACATTCTAACATTTAATAAACCTGCTGCCTGATGATTACTGAATTTCTCCAAGATCTAAAACCCGTTACTGTGCCCTAGGACTCTCCACTGCAGAGCCACTTTCAGGGGACGTACGAGCTGTGGTCTCAGGTGGGGTGCCAAGACAACAGGTCCCAGAGCCATGCACTGAGGCAAAAGTCACCCTGCCCATGACCTAACAACACAGGTAGTATTTCTTTTTCCCCCCATCTAAGAAGTCTCCTCTTTAGTATAGCCCATTGGTACATTCCACGTGCAGTATTTCATTTAAAAAAACTCTTGCTTTGTGCCAATTTTGCACAAACTTTTTTGTCAGATTAAGGTATTACCTCTTCAACTCTGAAGAAAACACTGACTTGGGGAAGATACTTTTTAGTTGTTTGATTAGAAGTCAATACTTGTTGATATAATGATAGACACTTGATTGACACTTGTTGGTACAGTGAAACAAAAATGGAATTTAACACCACAGTTGGTGCTTTTTACTTGCTGTGGGCTTTCTGGCTTTCCACAGCTCCGTTCAGAAGAAATGTAGGTCACACCTACAACTACTCATAGCCCATTACCTGTATCAGAAGATAAAACCAGGCATCCTCAAAAATTTTCTTTCATACATTAGCATTTATTTATGGTAAAAACACACAATCTTTTCATGTCTAAGTTTGCATTTGAGCAAAACATCATGGACTAAGACATATATCAACATACTTTACACCACTGAACAGGCTCAACTTCTTTACTCCAGTGATTTAAAATAAGACTCATAGAATTCATATGAATTTCATTTTACATATTCACTTTTCAGTGTTTTTCCACTAAAGATTTAGTCTCATTGATAACTATGACTTGTAAACAAAATTGTTCTATTCCACTGCAAATCAACCTCAGTTGTGCTCCCACCCCAACAGTGAAGAAAGAGGGAGAGAGTATTTGCTATCACTGGTTAAGAATTGAAGGGGAAGGAAAAAGGAATATGGACATTTTCCAAAATCTTTTACACGTAGTCCAAGGAGATGTAATACTTGGACTGTCCTCTACAGAGAGCAAGCCTAGAGAGCTCTTTCAAATACACATTCATGTATGTAGACAAAAAATTTATGAGAAGCAGGTTTGATGCTTGAATGT